TTATACAAACCGATTTAAAAATATATATATATATATATATATATATATATTTGACAAAATGTCTGTGGTCTTTAATTGCAAATTCCCAAGCAGTCACTTATAACAAATTGTATTCACAGTCAGAATATTTAACTAGTATCTCTGTCACAGAGACATACTATTGACAATATGTACACAATAACAAATTTTATTATGCAAGTCAATGTTTTCGCAATTGCTGTTAACTAAATGAAGTTGAAAACAATTTCAGGATATTTTTATATATGGTAGTAATTTGGTTGCTTTCATGCGTTCAGCCAATGTTTTTAAAACTTTGCATCATTTCTTTTTGTTTGCATTCACAATAGCAGCTTCTTCAAATATTTTCTTGCTGATCAATCCACTTTTATTGATTATTGCATTTAATCTTTCTTTTGTTGGACATTTTTAAAGCCAACTCAATAGGAAGAAAAAAAATCCAATAAAAAGGTATTTTTAAGTGTCAAAGTTCAGAACAACCTCCTAATGCTAGAAAATAAAAAAAAATTGTCTAGCCATTTTTTCTTGTTCTTATCTTAGAAAAGTTTACAATTTATTTAACAAGTGTTTCAATATTTTGACAATTTCCAAAACTGTATTTACCATTACAAAATAACTTTACAGCATTGCATTTCCCTTTTGAGATGCTTATGTTGAAACACTGGTTATCATATAGTCACCAAAATTAAGCAATGTCAAGCCTGGTCAGTACCTAGATGGGTGACTGCTGGGGAATACCAGGTGCTGTAAGCTTAGATGTGCAGATAGTAAAATGGATAACAGCCCAATATTGCAAATAAGGGATTCAAGTTCCAATTCCAGTTGGGCTCGTTATATTCACTTACACACCATTGAGAAATCCACCTCGTCTCCCACCAGCTATAGGTTAATTGTAGTGATTTTTTTGATTTTAGTGTCATCAGCAAACTATTTGCTGATGACACTAAAATCAAAAGTTTTTAAGTGAAAGAATAAGTGTTACTTATGCTCTATATCATCATAATCTTCTCTTCTACTTCCTCTTAGATTCACATCACTCAGTATCCCTCAACTTTGAGTGGCTCCTGAGCCTGATAATGTGAAGATTAGTAAAATATATATAAGAGTGAATACTGAAGTCAACACTGAGTAGGTATAGTCAGTTTCATGCTTAAGTGCAATTTTCATGACACTTGGTATTGATCTCAGTGGCCACTTTTATATTTGCACATGCTCTATTCTGAATATTAAGCACATTTAACCCATAAATATTACATACCTTAAAATTATAGTTTATCATCTATATTACAAGCTGATACAATCAAATGTTTTCAGCACAAGAACTAGATGATGAAACAAACATAACACATAGGTAGAATATAGCTATCCACAAAAAACCAAATTCCAAGAAATTCAAAATATAAATAAGTACATCTTAATTTTACCTGGTTGTGGGTGAAGAAGGTGGTTTATTCCTTAATGTTCTTTAAGTTCTTTTGCAGAAGAGTCTTAATTAGTAGATGCTTAGGCTTTAAGAGTTAGAAGTGACTCTGATGCCTTATGGGAATTCACAGATAGATGACCCCAAGGAGCAGTCATCAGTGCAAAGAGACCATCACTCTATACCTGCAGCTACAATAATTCAGCTGAAATTTTACCAACATTAATTGGCTAAAACCTGACAGTATAAAGAATCTATGTCTATACAAATCCAAATCCAAGTACCAGGTTGAAGTGATACCTGATGGTCCATCTATGCATCATAGCATCAATCATTATGAAAATCTGTCTTCTTAGCAAAATATTCTTTTAACTGAATCTATAAATTGACCTCAATATCTCTCAAGTGAAATAACAGAGGTTGCCAAATAGTTTGACATGTTGAGATTGAAATCATTCATGGCCAGATGAAATATTTATTTTTATTGTTATGCTTTGTTTTGTTTTTTTACAAAAACTAATGCTAATGGTAATATTAACCATTTCCTTATGAGGAAGCTTTCAGTATTCATTGACTGAGCAGCCTGGACTGGACTTGTCGGTTGAAATTTATAAAATCTTTCTTTTAAAACAATTTTTCAGGAAAATGTGTTTCTCAAGTCCAGTGGCTGTTATTGCTCTTTCCAGGGGTTCCTTCCTAACCTTTTATTTGAAGTAGTGTGAAATGTCTGTCTAGACAAATTCCTGAGATGAAGTATTATAACTATTTACACTATTTACATTGGTTGAACTGTTGTCCTCATCTTTATTGTTATATTCATAACATTGTGCCCTCTGACCTTCTTTGTTGATATACATTGGAATTTCAAACTGAACCCTTTATTTAGTCCAACCTAACCCTGTCCCCAAGGATACATGGCCCGGTAGATAGAATCATTAGTTGAAGTAATCTAGTGACTTGGCCCAAAGCATTGCGAGTTCAATACCTGACCACAGTATAGGTGAACAAAAATTTGGAAGTTGAGTCATTGAAGAGAAATAACAGAAACTGAGATATCCAGAAAAGGAACGGCACATGAAACTAGAACAATCTACCTCAGTGAACGAAATAAAGGGTTTGGTTCAATATTCCAATGTATGCCACCTAAAGAAGGCTGGAGCGTACAATGGCCAAAACATTGTGAATCTGATAATAAAGATGAGGACAACAGTTTGAACAATGTAAATAGTGCAAATATTTTGATTATCGTTAATTTTTCTATTTATTTTACACGTGATATCCATTTTAGCTGTTGCTGCTGAAAATCAACAAGTGATGTGATTTCTGTTATTTGGTATAGTTATTTATTTGAAAAAGAAATGCACTGAAAAAATATTAATTTGCAAAATTACAAAAAATATACATTTACCTAGATGTCTCAAGGCAGGAAAGTAAGAGATTTAATTACTGAAATGTCTACCTGACTGTTTAATGTAAGCTTTATATACACATTATAATCTCAGCATGTCAATAAATAATATAAAAATACATCCTGCCTTTGTGGTTGAAGCAATCGAAAAATTTTAAGCAGCATAAGAGACAGGTAAACTCAATATGAAGGAAAAAAAAAATTCCACAAAAAGGTATTTTTAAGTGTCAAAGTTCAGAACAACCTCCTAATGCTAGAAAATGAAATAAAAAAATTAAATGTATATAAATTTGATAAAATAGCAACTTTATATATAAACAGAAGATAGATTTTTTTTGACAGTGACACATCTTGTGGATTGAGAGAAATAAAATGGTAAACAGCAGGATTGCAGGGTAATGTTGATCAGATGATATATCCTTTTTCAGAACATTAGCAAAGCACTTATAAGTCTTGTTAATGTAATGTACATTATCTACATCTTACAAAAGAAAAAAAAAAGAAAAAAGAAAATTATCTATATGAATATAATATGTATGTGGGGTCTTAGTGTAACAAATCTAAAAATATTCTTGAGATAACTTACAGATTTACTTTACACCCACCACTAAATTTTAGTTTCCATTAATATGGTATGTGCAGATGACTTTTGGCAATAGTAAAGCAAATTTTTAGTTGAAATACAAGTAATTATATCTCTGTACAACAAGAAATAATATACATAACATAATTTTAATGGCTTGCTAATATAGTTCAGATTAGAGTGACAAAAGATGTGTCTGTTAAGAAAAATAAAACATTTTGGTTTATATTATAATTGATTTTAAATAATGTCAAAGAGAGATTAATCAAATTTCTTCTGATTTATGTGGGTTTTTATGCTATTGTTAACCCAATACAAGGTCCAAGAGCCACTCAAGGTAGAAGGTTAGTGAATGAGGTTGTTTTATGGACATAAGAGAAGGATGTATGAATTGCAGATTATGAGGATATGAAGAATAGATAATGGTTGCAATGACTGAAGAAGCATCCTATCTAGAGTCTGTTCCACAAAGCAGTGGCTCTTGGAAAAAAGCTGTCCAAATGGAACTTCCTCCTTACTAAAGGAATACAAAGGGAATAAGGATGGTGGAAATAGTGTGAAATGTCTGTCTAGACAAAATTTCTGAGATGAGGTATTGTAACTATTTACATTGATCGAACTGTTGTCGTCATCTTTATTGTCATATTCATGACATTTCAGCCATACATGGCATGGGGGGGTGTGACATTAGCTGATGAATCTAGGGAACATTAGAACATTTTCTATTGAAATAGTGAGAGTAGCAATAAGTCTGTGATACTAGGGTGGTAAATATTTCATTACCCACAAAGAATGCCATTGAGGCTGGAAAGAAAAGTGAGGATTACTCAGCTCCAGCTCAGATATGGCTGGAATATTTCAGTCTTGGTTTGCTCTGACACTTACATAAAGATAAAGCATGACAAGTGGAGTCAAGAACTTTCTAGAGCAGCACAAATAACCAACCATTTTTCTAGTGTCTTTAATGATCGATTCTGTATATGAGCTTCACTTGAGGTTTATGGAATGTGTGAGAAAGTTGTGACTTACTTTTCTTTTTTTTCTTTAAGTGAATAATCAGTCAAATTCCAGCATGCAAATACTGCTTTTTATATATTATAAATTTAGTAATTTAAAAATATGGTTCCATCGCTACATAGGAATTACCATGTTTTAAAAACAGAAACTAAAAACTTCAAATTATAGAATTAAATTAAAATCCCTAGTACTGTTTCATTTTCAAGTAATTTTGGAAGTACTAGGGATTTTAATTTAATTCTGTAATTAATTATGAATTTTTTAGTTTCTGTTTTTGAAACATGGTAATTCCTATGTAGCGATGGAACCATATTTTTAAATTAGTAAATTTATAATATTTATGCTCTGCAGAATTGTATTGAGCACTGTTTTTTAAAAATAATTAATAAGAACATTGATTTATAAATCTTACTGTTCTTTCTCTTTATTTTAATATATATATATATATATATATATATATGTAAAAAGTACTGTAAAATATATGTAAGTGTCAACACTGAGTGGTTATAGTCTGTATCATATGTTTGTATTTATGCCAAAAGTTAGTCACTTAC